TGCGCGGATGCTGAACATCCACGTGGGTGCCGAGGCGGAGCTGCGGCAACGAGCGACGAGTTGACGACTTGTCTGTGACGGCATCGTCGGATGGCATGGCAGTCTCATCACGTGTCATTGCTTTGGAGAGCCAGGATGAATCAAACTCCTTCCAATGTGCAATGACGAATGACTGGAGAGAGCGGCCAAATAGGAGCTCAGCGGGGCTCTGACCAGAGGAGCAAGGTGTGTTTCGCCATTCCAGTAGCCCTCGGCGGAAGTCATCTGTGTCAAGATTGCCATTCACGGTTGTGTTGGTGATAAGACGCTTCATGGCTTTGACAGCAGCTTCGGCGTGCCCATTACTCTGCGGGTAGTGGGGAGAGGACATGACATGGTTTACCTGCCAGCGCGTACAAAACTCAGCAAACTTATGCGAGGAGAACTGGGGACCACCATCTGTACACAGCACAGCAAGAACACCAACATCAGAGAACCAGCGACGAAATGCTAGTATCACGTCATGCGATGAGGTGGTGCAGCCAGTATGCGCGACACAGGGCCAACCTGTCAAACGATCTGCATACACAAGGAAGTCGTGACCTTGACAAGTGAACAAATCGGCAGATGCACATTCAAACGGTAGTGTCGGGTGCGGTCTTTCAGCAGGGGCTCAGCTGGCTGGGACGACTGGTGTTCGCGGCAAGCAGGACAAGAACGAACGAGTGTATCAATGTCCTTGGTGATACCGGACCAGTATACAAGCTGACGCGCACGAGACTTAGTACGCACTAGGCCTTGGTGTGAAGCGTGGAGGTTGTGCAATACCTGAGCACGCAATGATTCAGGAACAACAATGCGGTTGCCCTTCAACACAATGCTATGGTCGACGGAGAGATGCTCACGTCCATTCCAGTACGCACGTAACGGAGCAGGTAACTTCTGCTGGCGATCAGGGAATCCAGTCAAGATACACTCAATCAATGACTGGTACGTGGCATCTGCAGCTGCAGCTTCACGCAGCTCTGCAACCTTGAGATTCGCATTCGGCTCAGTGTCCGAGTGCACCATGCAGATCTGAATGCTGCGTCAATGAAGCGACGGGGCTTCAAAAGATCATCAGTGGTGGAAGGAATGCCAACAGGATTCCGGGACAGCGCATCGGGGAAGGCATTTTCAGAACCTTTTCGCCAAGATGCCTGCAGCTGATAGGCTTGGAGCTTGAGGCGTAATCGTAGAAGAAGCGGGTTCTCGATCTGATCCAACGAATATGAGTTGATGATCGGAATCAGGGGCTTGTGGTCAGTGACTACTTCAAATGGCGCACCAGACAGGTAGATGCGGCATTTGCGCACGGCCCATACTACAGCGACCATTTCCAACTCGATGACAGCATAACGTGTTTCAGCATCAGACAGGTAGCGGGATCCACACTGAATAATACGCCACTGATCATTCTGCTTTTGCCAAAGCCCGAATCCGAGACCTCTTAGAGCGGATGCATCGGTTTCAAGCCGGAGGTCTTGACCAACTTGATAGAATGCGAGAACTGGAGGAGACAAGAGAGCTTCCTGTGTCCGTTCAAACGCTGCAGGGTGGCTAGCGTCCCACATGAACTCACGGGAGGTCTTGAGCAGGCCACGCAGAGGATTGGTCAACTCGGCTAGATGTGGAGTGAACTCGCCACATTGGTTCACTAGACCGAGGAACGAACGGAGATCGGTTCTGTTGGCAGGTACTGGAAACTGGCGAATACGGGACGTCCTATCATCGTCGACGACCCAGCCATCAGGCATGACGTTGTAGCCGCAGAAATGGACACGTTGCGTACCGAACACAAACTTGGCGGGGCTGAATGTGATACCATGCTCCCTGGCGCAGAGCAGAATCTCGCACACGTGGCTGACATGCGATAGAAAGTCGTCGTCGTACGCAAGGCAATCATCGACTACCTTGCCGAGACACGGGATGGCAGAGAACGCAGCATCAGTGCGCCGGTTGAACTCATCCCCAGCAGATATTAGACCCTGCGGGTTCCGTAGATAACGATATCTGCCGTACGGGGTAATAAACGAGGTGAATTCCTGAGCAGTGTCACTGAGAGGAATCTGCCAGTAGCCGTGCCTTGCATCGAGCTTCGTAAAGAACTTAGCAGAGCCAACTCCAGAGACAACGTCACGTGCCGTATGTACGGGATGCCCGGGACGACGGACTTGGTCGTTCAGCCGCTTGAAGTCAACTGTGAGGCGCTTCTCAGTGCTGCCCTTCTTGTCAACTATGACAATCGGATGGCACCATTCACTGGGCTCCGTCACTGGTTCAATAATACCATCGCTGACCATGCCGTCGAGCTGAGTATTGATCTGGTCACGGAACGCATACGGTATTGGTCGAGCAGTGTACACACAGGAGGGCTTAGAATCATGCTGTAGCTCAATTTCCATTGGCGGACCTTCCATTGGCTTCAGACCGGAATCCGAGAAAACGTCAGCGTACTCTTGCAGGAGCTGCTCAAGTGTCCGCGCTAACTCAGCATCACTAGGATGAGCGCATGACGAAACAGCTGCACAGATCTTGGGTGAAGATGCACCCTCGTGTTCAGCGGTGAATTGGACTGGCCAATTAGGTGGGAAAACCTTCAGCGCACGCAATGAGGTATGAGACAGCAGGGCATCGTGTAGACCCTTGTACACATGGATGAAGGTTTCATGCTGCGTCTCACCGACTCGTAGAGTCGCACGTATCTTGCCCAGGTTGCGTAGCGGCTCACCGGTCACAGCCTGCACACAGTCGTGGTCGTCATCTAAGTTCTCGACGAACCCACCGATCTGCGTGAGGTGCTCCTCGCCAATGGCATCAACGTCACTGCCTGTGTCGGTGTCCAGGACAGTTGGGATGGCTGATCCTCTGTTTGCAGCATGGTCGAAACAGGTACTGTGCGACGGTCCACGCGAGACGCACGCTGTAGCTTCAGCTGCCCAAGCTTGGCAGCAGAACTAGTCTTCGGCTGTTTCTGGCGCTTGCACATTCGCTGAAAATGCCCAATGCAATGACAGGAGTTGCACTTCTTGCCCTTGGCAGGACATACAGATTTCGTGTGCTCAGAGCGACCACAATTCGGACAAGTGGACTTGGTCGCACTTGATGTCTCACTTGGCTGAGAGTCAGCTGGCTTGTGACGTTTCTGCTGCTTGTACGCCGACTGCTTGGCAGCACTTGCCTGGAGGCCAGGACTGGGCATGTGTGCCTTGGTGTGGTATGCTGCTTCCTCCGTCCGACAGAGGGTGACAGCCTGGTCGAGCGTGAGACCATGAGTTGCGAGCAACTTGTGTCGCGTCTTATCGTTCCGCACACCAATTACGACGCGGTCGCGCAGAGATTCCTCCTTGAGGGTACGGCCGAGGCCTTTGTACTGCGCACAGCAGCGAGCATCACACGTTCCACATAGGCTGTGTGACAAGAAGTCGCATGCACTTTTTAGTACACACAGGGCTGTGTAAAACGCATCAAATGATTCTCCAGCTTGCTGGACACGCTGGTAAAACTCTATGCGGTCCAACATTGGATTACGTTGCCGTCTGATATACGCCAGAATGCGCTCCAGCATCAGGTCGACGTCAGCTGAAGCTGGTATGCAGATAATATCCTCTCGGATAAAACGTCGCAGCTCCTCATCGAAACACTGACAGAGTGTTGCCACTCTGGCCTCACGAGCCTGGCTGGCCAAATGCTGGCAAACACTAAAATCTCTCCAGCTTTCAACGAAGGAGTGAAAATCAGCCAGCGTCGCAGACGACAATAAGTGTGGGCAGGAAACACTGTTCACTGGCCGTGGTGCTAAAGTCTGCGAGGTGGACTGAGCTGGTGCTGAGGGCTGCGGAGTGAACTGAGGCTGTGATGGTGATAGCGACCTGCTCTGAACATTCTTGAACAGATCTTGCATCGCCTTATCACGAGCCTCAGCTGCACGCATCTGCTGCTCCATAAATTCCATCAGGACACCCTGTTGTGGAACCCTCGTCCCCCGACGCACGGCTACTCTCACCCGACAACAACTCTCACTAGTACAGTTTATACATGATATTGGAAAAGGAGAGATTAGCAAAATGGACACAAGCAACGCAAACTCGAACTAACTAGAAGAAGGAACAACACAACAAACTGAGCTGCAGTCGTACTTGTGCCAGCCGCCGCAACACACGGGATAGCATGCTACATATGCATGTGCAAACCTCTACACAACACATCTTGGCTACATGCGCAACCGCATAGATCTACGTAACAAAGACATCATGGCTAGATTACTATGCGAGTACAGAATACTAGTAGTAACAGTGCAGAGTGGCATCTACAGTCATGCATATCTATTCATTACAACCCCTCCCTCCAGACGCCACTGCTCACGGACAGTACCGAAGCGGGCGTTGCCGGATGGTGGGGGGACGCAGCGCATAGCGCGGGGTGGCATCGGCGGCGCCACAGTCTAGCTCGAGGGTGACATGGCCATCATCGCTGCCGTCGCCATCATTGTCGCCGCTGCAGGACTCATGGTGCGAACTGTTGGCATGCTCATCCGGAGACTCCGTAGTTAGCGGTGCTGGGTCTACTTTCAGTAAGTCCACGCTCACTACCTTCTCGCCGCCATCTGCATGCTGGATGACAACAGTCGACTGAGATATGATCTTCTGCACATGCCATCCAGTCTCGAATGGCGGGAAGAGCTTCTGGTGTCGGCCAGGGCGCCGGAACAATACCGCGTCACCAGGAGCATCTGGTGATCTGACGTTCTCAGCAGGCAGTGGAGGGCTCGATGCCGATAGCTCTGCTTCCACGATGTCGCGCACACGGGCAGCAGACTCGGTCAGCTTCTCTACCCACTCGCTGAGTAGGCGAGCATCTTCGTTGACTTCCACAACGATCGTGCGGGGTTCCCAGCCACATAGCGCAAGCATTGATGATACGGTCGTCGTTGAGTGCGGCCGCGTCCGGTAGTAGAACAGAAGGAGCTCCAACTCTGCCTGCTAGTCTGCTGTCTCGTCCAAGACCTTCCGCATGAGTGTGATGATGGTCCTGTTCATCCGCTCAACACAACCCTGCGACTGGGGGTGTCGGACTGCTCCCGTCTTCACTCGTACGCCGAACTGGATAAACAGTGCACGAACGACAGCATTCTGGAACTCAGTTCCGTTATCTAGCCGCACTTCGTCCGGTGGACCCCATTTGCAGCAGATGCTGGTCATCGCTCTCGCTACGCTCGCAGCGTCATGGCGTCGAAGAGGTACCACCTCGACCCACTTAGTGAAGACGTCCGTGCAAACGAGCACGCAGTGGAACCGTCCACTCCTCTCATGGCCGAGCTCCAGGGTGTCGACTTGAAGCACACTCCACGGTTGCCCGGGTATCTCCAGAGGAGCTTGCGGCACCGTCGCACCTCCACGGCTGTTGGCGGCGCTACATGCTTGACAATTTCGGCAGAAGTCTTGGCACCGGGCGTTCATGCTTGGAAAGTGACACATGCCGAGCAGCATCCCATACATGACCGTCCAGCTGGCGTGTCCAGACATTCGATGGGCTTCTTCCAGCACACGAGGCACTAGCGTCTCCGGGATTAACGGCACGGTGACCCTTCCGGCGGCAGGTAGTCTGAAGCTCCGCGACAGGATACCGTCGTCAATGACAAGTTGGTCCTGCACTTTCTCATATTCCTTCATGACGACTCGCTTGCCTTGTTGCACAGCCGACAGCACGGGCACCAGGTCGGGAGTCGCTCGCTGGGCCTCCCTGATTTCGTCTCGGGTGATAGCTCGCCCCGGCGCACCACCTTCAACTACGGCAGCAGTAACAGACACAGCTTCCGTTTCCGTCACGTCGGGCTTGCACGATTTGAGCCACGCCACCGGCACCCGCGTCAGCTCGTCGGCCGGATTCCGGTCGGTTGGCACCCATTCTACGGACACGCTGAGCCGGGCAGTCTTCAGGAGGTCGGCTACCACTTGCAAGCGTCTCTCGATCCATACCTTGTGAAGACCCCCGAGTCTCACGCGACGCACTTTGTCAGCGACCTGCTGAAGCCAAGCGAACACCGTCTTGGAATCCGTGACGAGCCGTACCGAACTCAGGCCCCACTCGGCAGCGAGAGAGAGCCCATGCACGCACGCGTCAAGCTCGGCGACGTTGATGTCCTCGGCATCTCGCAGCCACGTCCTGTCCTCGATGGTGTTGCCATTGTGCTGCAACGCAACGCCAGTTGCTATATCAGACACGTCGAAGAAGACGGCCCAATTGCCTTCCGACTTCGACGTCACCTGCCAATTCCCTCGTACCGGGTCCTCTTGCTGTAGTCGGTCGGCAACTTCCTCTGCACACTGCACGACCCTTTCCGGCACCGGCTCATCCCAAGTAGCAGCCACACTGGCCATCCTCTTCAGATACGAGCAGGCAGGTCGCAGCCAGCTGCCTACCGGGTAGTGGCTCGTTAAGCGGCCTGTCCACTGGAAAATGGCACGCTTCGTCAACGGGCGCTGAAATGCCAGATCCACGCCGTCGCGTCGCGACCAGTATGTGGCGTCACCTTCCACAGGCGTCGACAACTGCAGGCCTAGGACTCGAGCGGACGACAGCGGCTCCGCTGGCTTGGTTGGCAGCGAGTATCGTGCGAATTCCGCAACAACATCTTCACGCTCATCCGCCGGTGTCAGGACGTCATCGACGTAGTTATCGACTTCCGGCCACGGTTGTGTCACCCATCGTACGATCACGTCCATGAACTTTGGGGCAATGGATAGCCCAAAGCCCATCCTGGTCATTACGTACAATTTGCCGCGCCACACGACCACTTGGTATCGTAGAATAGCCGGGTCCACGTGCACCTGTAGGTAGGCCTTGCGCACATCGACTAGCTCGTACTGGCCTCCGACTTGCCTCCACTTCCGTATCTTCTCCGCACAAGCAGGAGCATCCATGCCTGGGTTGGACTTAGTCAGGTTGTTGAGGCCACGGTAGTCCAGGCAGGGGTGAACGGGAGTGGTGGATTTATGGGCCTGACTCTTCGCCAGTAGGGGGATGATAGCTGTAGGCGATCCGTGGGTGGCCTCGTCGTGCTCCACTAGCCAGCCTTTCTCCACCCAGGAATCCACTTCGTCGCAGAACTGGGTCTCCTGTTCAGCGGACAGGTTGGTGCGTGCATACTGGCCAATGCCTGATCCGATCGGATGCGACGGCTCCTGGCCATCCTTCCAACGCCACTGCAGGGTCCACTTCTTCAGTTCATCGTCCCAGTGCACCTGTCCATCGTCCGCAGCCAGGGTGACATCTTTGGCATCCCTGGTCACAGTCACATGGCGGAGGGGGTGGTCACTTGCCGGCGCAGCCGTTGCACTGACGCTGGGAATCCCCGGTCCGAAATTAGCCGAGTCGATCTCCCCGTCACTGCCATATCCGATGCTGACACCTCCGACACCAGCGATGACATCTGCACCGAGCAAGATGTCCGCACCGACCGCCGCTAGCGATCCGACGACGCATGCCTTTACGTGCACCCGTGGGAGAGACACCGGTCCGTCCATTCGCTGGAGCTGAAGGTCCGTCTCACCAAGGATTTTAACCGGCTTGCCGTCTACGGCTACTATGGATCTCGGCTTTCCGGGGTCATAATCGATGCCATAGGCTCGGAGGAACGATGCAGTTACCATAGTGTACGTTGCGCACGTGTCGATCGCGGACCGAGCTCGCGCCCAGCCGTTACGTACGCTAGCGCTGGACCGCACATCTAGGAATAGGCGCGGTAGCAATGCATGCGCTGCTTCAGCTACAGAGCACAGGCACGTTGCATCCTCGGACATCGTCGGGCGCACTGGAGCTGCATTTCCAACAGCCGAAGCTGCAGTTCCTGACTTGCTCTCTTGCCAGGTGTTACGCTCAGGGCAGTCTCGCTTTAGGTGCCCAACGCCGTCACAGAAATAGCACTGAGACAGTGTCTCCCTCGGGCGGGAATCCCGGTTCCAAGTGCCGCCGCGACCACCACCGAATCCACCGCCACGACCACCACGAGTCCACCGGCCGTGGCCGTGGATTCGGTGGTGGCCGTAGGGCCACCACCGAATCCACGGCCACGGCCCCAGCTCTGCCGTTTGGGGCAAAACCTCTTCATGTGACCTACTTCGCCACACAGGTAGCAGGCGTCAGAAGATGCAGTCTGTTGACCAGCCTGGGCTGGTGCAGTAACTGCCACTACCTCGCTCCTGCCACAGGCATCATCAGCATTGGCGCTGCGCAGAGCACGGACTACATCTAGACATCCTGACAAGGACAGCTCCTTGCCTGCCATGGTGAACCTCAACTCGCGGGCGTACTGGGATGACAGACCAGCGATCATCTGGTCTATCAGCAGTGCGTCCTTGTCATCATCAGCAGCATGACCCGCCAAAGTGTACAGCCTCTGTAGGTCAGCTACGTAGGCGTCAGGAGACTCGTCGATCCGGAGCTTCCTCTTCGTAAATGCGCTGTATGCTTGCGCCTTGGTCATGCAGAACGACTGTCTCAGTTTAGCCAGAACTTTGTCTTGTTTCTTCCTGTCGGCTGCATCCATCCTTGAGAACACAAGAAACGCGTTTTCCTCCAAAAGAATGGAAAATTCTTCATGCGTTTGGCTTCATCATTCCACGTCTGAATCTCAGCCAGTACTTCAAATTTCTCCCAAAACCGTTCGAAGTTCTCACCGCTTACGGTCCTCAGGAAGCTGTCCACCTTCAGAGACATAGCTTAGTCGGCCTACGACAGGGTCTTTCCACAAATTAAGAGAATAAACCACGTTCAGAGACTCCAAACTTCCCGGGTTTCGGCACCAGATGTTGTGGAACCCTCGTCCCCCGACGCACGGCTACTCTCACCCTACAACAACTCTCAATAGTACAGTTTATACATGATATTGGAAAAGGAGAGATTAGCAAAATGGACACAAGCAACGCAAACTCGAACTAACTAGAAGAAGGAACAACACAACAAACTGAGCTGCAGTCGTACTTGTGCCAGCCGCCGCAACACACGGGATAGCATGCTACATATGCATGTGCAAACCGCTACACAACACATCGGGGAACTTGGCTACATGCGCAACCGCATAGATCTACGTAACAAAGACATCATGGCTAGATTACTATGCGAGTACAGAATACTAGTAGTAACAGTGCAGAGTGGCATCTACAGTCATGCATACCTATTCATTACAACCCATTTGAGATTCCTGCTGTCGCTCGGTCGCGGAGGACAGGTCAAATCCGGTAACGTCCTGTGATTGTTCCATTACGATTAGTCACTCATCCACGAGTGCGAACAAATACACTACTAAAATAATTCAACTGAGACAGAGTTTCGATCGCGGAAACTACTACTTCACACGGATAAAAAACTGGGCCCGTGCAAACACTACAAGGTGCGGACACAAGGCACGGACACAGGTTCGTATCCTGTTCATTGCGCCATGATACGTTACTATTTATTCTTGAAGACTTGGGAACGGAAACAAAACATGTCATGAGAAAAAACAAGAGGAAAAAGAAGCACACTCAACTAATCCGTGTGTGTGCGTGCATGCAGTACAACTATGATGTAATGAATATAGATACACATCAAACGCCTTCCTCGAATACAAGTCCGGGGCAGGGGGCGATTGAAAAAATACAAGACCGTCTCGGATTAGAAGACCGGGCCTACTAAATGAGTCTTACGACTGCGCATGAGCGGGCGAGACGGCTTCCATTTTGTACAAAACTGCAACTACACGTGGCATGTGTGGCACATCTTCTGGTTTCTTGTGATTCCGCCATCACGCTCTGCCGGTCCTTGTAGCTTTTTCTTTCGACCATGGCCAGCAATATGCGAAAGAAGTACTCTTGTGACTTCAAAATTTCTGCTGTGGATTTGGCAAAGAGGACGAGTATCACCAGCGCAGCGGAGAAGCTCAAGGTGACTGGGGCTAAGATTCGGCAGTGGAAGAAAGATGAAACTTTGCTGAAAGAAGCTGCTGGCTCTGGGCTTTGCCCGCCGCCGGCGGTGCTGCAGGACTTTTGCCAGCACCCTCATGACGTAGCAGATGTGTGGCTTGATTATTAGTAGTATAGGGGGAGGGGGTTCTGGCTCACCTTCCAGGTGAGCCAAAATCGACTTTGTCGATCGGCCCGAAGGGCCTCCCTCCAAAGTCTCCCCCTCCCCCTATACTACTATACTAAAGGATATACACCCAAGTACTAATTTTACACCTCCAAGTACTAATTTTACAACTCCAACCACTGATCCCATGTTGGCTCAACCCCGTTCCAGAAAAGTGAGTCAACTTGCTGTCTCCGAGAAAATCGAAAGTGAGCCAACTTCAGCTTTTTCATTTACCCCATCTTGGCTCACTTCGAGGACTGATGTGGGGTCGGTTTCTGAGCCAACTTCGGGTGGTTCAGCTTTGGATGAGGATTCACCACCATCAATCGGTAACTCATACCTATTCCCCATCTCATCATCATCAACAATATTTTTCCCAACTTCTAGCTCTCGTGTTATCTTTTCAGCATACTCAACTGTTTCCTGTTTTAGTTTTGCTAAGGGATGGATCAATTCCGCATTTATCTTTTCATCATACTCAATTGCCCCCTGTTTTAGTTTTGCTAAGGGATGGTTCATTTCCTCATATATCTTTTCTTGTTTTTCATCAGCTTTTTTTGTAATAGGGGGTTTCCATCCTGAGTTGAGTGCTGCTCTCACCTCAGCAAGGGTTTCTTTTGTGGGTATGTAAGGCTTATTTTTCACCTGATCATCTTTACATGAGGTGGGTGGTTTCGTGAGTAAGAAGGTTCTCATCCTTCTTTCTATGATTTATTTTTTTATTTTTCTATGAAATCCAACAGCAGCAATGGGGATGAGAAGAAGAAGGAAAAGGAGGTATATCAAGTTGTTTGATTTTCCCGATGTATTTCCCGATGTTCCCGATGTTCCCGATGTTCCCGATGTAATTCCCGATGTATTTCCCGGTGTTCCCGATGTAATTCCCGATGTTCCCGATGTAATTCCCGATGGTGTCGGTGTAAATCCCGATGTTCCCGATGTAATTCCCGATGTAATTCCCGATGTTGTCGGTGTTGTCGGTGTAAATCCCGATGTTCCCGATGTAATTCCCGATGTTGTCGGTGTTGTCGGTGTAAATCCCGATGTTCCCGATGTAATTCCCGATGTAATTCCCGATGTTGTCGGTGTTGTCGGTGGTATCGGTGTTGTCGGTGGTATCGGTGTTGTCGGTGGTGTCGGTGTTGTCGGTGGTACAGATGCTGCTGGTACATTAATAGGTGGACTAAGATGTGTAAGCGGAACACAAATCCAGAATGAATTTTCTTCCCAACATTTGTTTATTACCAACCCATTCACTCTGACACAATGAGCTAGAAAAGCAATTCCTATCAAGATCATAAATTTGTTCATTCTTACTCTATCATAAACCGTTTTCTTTCTCCCCATCAGACTATACTAGTTACATCAAAGGTTGAAGGTGATTTTGGTAGATTGATCGTACCAAGCACATCTGGTAATGGCATCGGATTAAAATCTAACCTAGGCTGATGTTGTAAATTTCTTGGATCATTTTCAGGGTCAACACTCATCGAACAGCTGGAACGTTTTATGAGATATACAACAGCACCAACTATAGGAATAACAATCAGAGATAAAAGATAAAGATTGGGGTCTGTCAAATGAGGGTTATCCCCGTTTACTGGTTTCGTCTGATCGTAAGGGGGTTGTGTAGTGATATGGTCTGTTGGTGGTGATGTTTCACTAGGGATGTCAACCGGAGTTGGTCTTTCACTTTGGATGACAGTAGGAGGTTTCGTTGTCAAGCAGAGTCCATCCTTATCCCACGGATCAAGAATACAACCAAGAGTAAATGGTAGCATGGTCAACAGTATTAACAAATGAGGTATTTCCATTTTTTTATCTACATATAGTTAAGATTTTCAGTACTCATGATAAACCAGCTCCCATTCATCAATGAGATTGTATCCACTCACAGTTGGTAATGTCAATGTGTTGTTGATGAAGGTCAGATATGCCGTTGTTATATCATGTTCAGTAATGTATCGGATTACCGCTTTTTCTCCCAACACATCTCGATATGATAGATGAAAACGTCTTCTGCTACCACTTGTTTCTTGACCGACTATGAAGAGATCCTCAATGACAATCAGTTTGTTGGTTGGACTTTTGTAAATAGGAAAGACATGAAGTGTGGCTTCTGGTGGAGTGGTTGATGAGCTTGGGATGATATTCTTCAATTTTTTGACTTTCACCTTTCCATCCTTTCTGTCAACATACTCCTTTGTTGTTGCTGAGTCATCCTCTGTTGAGTCTCGGAGATTGATGATGTGTTTCAACCCCATGTTAAGATTTCCTTTCATCTGGTTGAGCCCACTAGTCCAGAGAGTCCGACTTTGTGTTGTGTTGAGATATTCTGATGTTACCACAGATGTACTTCTTGATGGTTGCTTCACATTTACAATTTCCATTCCACCCATGTCAAGATTTCCTTTCATTTTCAGTGTGCCACTCACCTTCAGTCGTGTTTCATCATCATCAACATGCTTCCTCAATGAAGTATCCACTTTTCCTATCTCACTTGTAACCCACCCAGTTGGTGCCGCACAAGTGGTACTTATTCCATCATAACCAAGAAAGCAGATGCTATGATAGTTCATGTCAATATGTCCCTCCACATCTCCACCAGCTTTATCCAGCTTTTCTTCACTGATGACAAATAACTCCCTTTTTTTGGCATAGGAATCAAGATTGATCGAATTAGCTTCCAAGG